TGAATCGGGTTTTCAAACCATTTCTTGACAGATTCGTGATTGTTTTCACTAATGACATATTAGTCTATTCACGAAGTCAAGAGGAACATGCCAATCATTTGAGAATACTGTTGCAGACGCTTTTGGAGAATGAGTTATATGCCAAATTCTCTAAGTGTGAATTTTGGCTCAAATTCGTAGCATTCTTGGGTCATGTGGTATCTCGTGAAGGTATTAAGGTTGATCCTCAAAAGATTGAAGCGGTTAAGAGTTGTCCTAGGCCAACTACACAGACAGAGATCCGTAGTTTCTTGGGATTAGCGGGCTACTATCGGCAATTTGTTGAAGGATTTTCTACTCTTGCATCTCCGTTAACCAAGTTGACGCAGAAAGCAGCAAAGTTTCGGTGGTCGGATGCTTTTGAGAGAAGTTTTCAAGAGTTGAAAGCTAGATTGACTAAGGCGCCGGTATTGGCGTTGCCAACATGTTTGGGTGACTTTGTGGTTTACTGTGATGCCTCCAGAGTTGGGTTAGGTTGTGTCTTGATGCAGAAAGGTAAGGTTATCACTTATGCTTCTAGACAGCTGAGGATCCATGAGAAAAACTATCCGACCCATGACTTGGAACTTGCCGCGGTTGTATTTGCTTTGAGAGTTTGGCGGCATTACTTATACGGGGAGCACTGTGAAGTATACACCGACCATAAAAGCTTGCAATATATATTCAAGCAGAGGAAATTAAACTTTAAGCAAAGGAGATGGTTATAACTTTTGAAGGTTATGATTTAAGCATTCATTACCATCCGAGAAAGGCGAATGTGGTAGCCGACGCACTAAGCCAAAAGTCAGGAGGTACCTTGGCACATTTACCGATAAGTAAAGAGCTTGCCGCTTGTGCCATAGCATGTTCCTCTTTTATTGAGCGTGTCAAGGCTAAGAAATTTGAAGATCCAAATTTGGTAAATATTCGAAATGGTGTACAATTTAAAGATATCCTTGCATTTTCTCTTGACGAGGATGGGGTGTTGAAGATGATGATCGCTTGTGCATGCCAGATGTCGATTGGATTCGTAATGAAATTATGGCTGAGGCACACATTTCGAGATATTCTATACATCCAGGGTCCACAAAAATGTAGAAAGACTTGCGGGAGATCTATTGGTGGAATCGGATGAAGGAAAACGTTTTGGACTTCGTGGCTAGATGTTTAAATTTTCAGCAAGTAAAGGCTAAGCATCAAAGACCTGGTGGGTTGGCTCAGAATATTGAGATTCCACTTTGAAAGTGGGAGATGATTGATATGGACTTTGTTGTGGGTTTGCCTCGCACTCGCTTGAAGCATGACTCTATTTGGGTCATTGTAGACCGACATACAAAGTCGGCGCATTTCTTACCGGTAAAGATGACTGACACGACACCACAACATGCTAAGTTGTACTTGAAAAAAATTGTCAGACTTCATCGTATTCCAGTTTCCATTATATCTGATACAAGGGCCCAGTTTACTGCTCATTTTGGCAGTCCTTTCAAGAAGGATTGGGCATAAGTGTCAATTTGAGTATCGCTTTTTATCCACAGACTGACGGGCAAGCTGAGAGGACTATTCAGACGCTTGAGGACATGTTGAGAGCTTGTGTACTTGATTTTGGTGGGAATTGGGATGAACACTTACCTCTAATTGAGTTTGCCTACAATAATAGCTATCATGCTAGTATCCAGATGGCTCCCTATGAGGCTTTGTATAGGCGACGTTGTAGATCACCCATTGGATGGTTTGAGCCGACTGAAGTAGGACTACTTGGTCCTGATCTTGTACATGGTGCCTTAGAGAAGGTGACTTTGATTCAACAACGGCTTAAGATCGCTCAGAGCTGACAAAAAAGCTATACAAATGTACATCGACGTAAGTTGGAGTTTAAAGAGGGTGATCAGGTGTTCTTAAAGGTATCGCCAATGAAGGGCGTTATGGATTTTGGAAAGAAGGGCAAGCTAAGTCCTAGATTTATTTGTCCATATCGAATCTTGAAAAAGATTAGGGAAGTGGCCTACAAGCTGGAGTTACCTGCATCGATGACTTTGGTTCATCCTGTTTTTCATGTATCGATGCTACGGGGGTATGTGCCCGATCCTGCTTACATCATCTCACCGGAGGTAGTAGAAATAAATGACGGTTTAACTTATGGCGAAGATCCAGTTGAGATTCTTGATAGGCAAGTCCGTAGGTTGAGGACTAAGGACATAGCTTCAGTTAAAGTAATCATGACGTCGAGGAGGCTACTTGGGAGGCCGAGGATATGAAAATCCGATACCCCCACTTGTTCGCGACTTCAAGTATGACTAATTTCTTAAAATTACGAGTTTGGAGTTTATCATGATTTAGTTACATGGAGCGAGTGAGAAATTTATTTATCTTACTTATTAGTTGGGATTCAATACGATTTTCTAATATGGTTGACTAATCTATTGCACATGGTTGTTAGATTTGTCTCATAGGAATAGATTTTATTGTTGTGATGCCGAGATAGGCTATGTAATGGGGTTTAGAGGTATATGAAGCCCAGAGGCATTCATTGATGTAGCTGTAATAGTGGTGTCGTGTGTGGCTTTTATATCGTGTTCTTATGGCTCGCTGTCAAGTTGAAATTTTGGATAGGCCCATAATTAAAAGGAAACTCTGTTGAAATTCTTAGAAATTTGGAGAGTTAGTCAAATTTCAAATCCTTAAGAGTTGAGGAGTAAGGAAAGACATGGGGATTACACTTTAGGATTTAATATGACCAAGGATTTACATTTGAGGACGAATATTTTTTAAGTGGGGGTGAATGTAAAGCCCCGCGAATTTCTATAATTAATCGGACTAATGTTGAGTTTAGAAATTTTAATCCTTGAAGGATGAATCATGGATTAACCTGCAAACAAAGAATCAAAGTGAAAAGAAATAAAGGTGAGGAAGGAAAATTGGTATCAAATGGATTACATTGGCATTGGCAGATCATTGCATCAAGAAGTAGCTACAGGTGATGCTCGCCGAGGCTGGTGCGACGCATCCCTATAGCATCCAAATTTTTCTGCTGCCACAATGTTGCCAGTGAACTCCATCCATAACGCCAACCTTGGCATCCGCACAACTGAAGGGACTGGGACGCATGCTATGAAGCATGCGACGTGTCCTATGCGGCGTTCGAGTTCTGAAGCCTTTTAAAGGCAATTACGGGAGGAGATTGGTATTTTAATTTGGGCATTGTCTTGGGAGGCTTAGAGAGAGAAAGGAGTTCCATACCATTAATGCATCTTCAAGATAAGAATTAAATGCCTTTATTTGGTAGATTTGGTCCATTTATTTGATCTCTTAACCCTCCAACATCATGGAATTCATAGATCTTTGAAGAAAATCTCAACGACACTTCAAGAACTCAAATCTTGAAAATTCTAGGGTTTGACAAAGAGGTAATCTCTTCACTCCAAACTTAGGTATCATACTCCATAGACATAGTATAGTGTACTTATGAAGGTAGAATTTTATTTAAACATCTATTCATGAAACCTTGGAAGAGTTCGTTGGTAGGGATTGTTTGAACGACATTATTTTGAGCTTCTAGTGGAACGACCAGATCCCATAATATGTGTAATGAAGGATTTGGAGTTAAAATTCAAGGATTTAACTTCCAATGATGAAATGGGGATTTTTGCTAAACTTATAAAGTTGGACTTAAAGTGTTAGACACTTAGTTGGGTTAGTTGGCATTGTTGTGATGCGTTATTAAATTATGTGAGTTCATATATGTTGATTGTGACTCATTGGCATTATTGGATCATTTGGGGTAAGGTTGGAAGCAATTTGAGGTACGTTGAAACTTATTACTCTCGGAGTTTTTCTCCAAACTCATATCGCACACGATTAAATCGAGTTTCTAAACATAAGTCCTAGCTTGTGGGAACGAACGAGTTGGGATTGTACCATTTTTTGCATCATAAAATATTTGAGTGTTATGACTATTATTTTCTTGAAATGTATTCCGACTTTTAAAATTTAAAAAATGGGGAATAACACTTGTAGTATTTTTTTTGAAACGGAATTACATAAGTTGTGAAATATCTTGGATTTAACTATTTTCAAATAGTTGATTTGGCTATGAATATCGTCATTGATAAATGTAAAGGTTTTGGGAGTTACTTAAGTTCACCGAGATTGACCTTGGATACTTTTCCTCATTAGGTTATGAATACTATGAATACTCATTGTTTTGCCATGACTTTCGAGTTCATTACCTGGTGTTTCAAGGTCATGCAACACGAATTTATGATTATATCTATTTTTTCGCATGTATTAGTACATATTGATTTTGTAAAATATTTTTGACGGACCATGATTGGCCTAAAATTTTGTAGGTCCATTGCAAACAGCCTAGTGACTATTACTCATTGCTTCGCCATGACTTTCAAGTTCATTTTATGGCGTTTCGACGTCTTGCAAATATGAATCTATGATTATATTCACTTTTTCGTGTGTATCAGTACTTGCTGATTTTGTAGAAGTTTTTTCAAGTCCAAAATTAAAATACGAACCTATTGAATCCATCAAATCTCGATTCCGAGGTCGTTTACTCAAAAGTCGAAACTTTGGTCAACTCTTCTAACTTAGAGCTTTTTAATTGAGAATCACTCTTCCAAATCCATCCCGAACCACTCGAAAATCAAAACCAACCATACACGCAAGTCGTAAAATATTATATGTAGCTAATCAAGGTCTTGAACCATCAAACGGAATACCAAAGCTCAAAATGATCAGTCAAGTCATTATATTTTCCCCACTTAAACATACGTCCGTCCTCGAACGTGCAATAAAACCTATACGAGAGAAAACCATACACAATAGTTTCAGTACCAAATTAAGCATCTGCACAAATACTTCCCAAGTATAACGTGTTATAAAAGCAAATAAAAAAAAGAAAAACAAACAGTAGAAGAAAACTGAACCGAATAAAAAAAAATACATATAGATACAATCATATCATTATCATACAATAAAAAAGAATTATATTTAGATAAAGGAGTCGGTGGTTCAATGGGTCACAAGAGATGACAAATTATTTCCCTTTTGGCAGAAAGAAAAAAAGCGAATCCCTAATTTCAAAGGCTTTTTCAACGTGACGGAGCTTGTCCATCACCATATATTCGCTGGTAATTTTACGATTTTCCCATTCGTTTTTCGTTTAATTTCAGACTAATTTACTTTTTTTGAATGGATTAATCGGTTAATTTGAGGATTTTTCTACAAGAAAAATGATGTTTCGTGGCGAATTTGAGCTTTTACATTGAATTTTGAGCTGAAATTTGCTTCATAATGTTATATTAGGGCTTAGGATATTTCCGTAACAGTGTTGTTAAATGTGCCCAAATAGAGTTTCAAACGATTTATAATTTTAAAGCTGCTGTTTTTCCATTTCATTTTGTTGGATAAATGTCACAATTAATCAGAGTTTATGTTCTATATGCACTGATGGTGTAAAAAATAATTTACAAAATCATGTTATTTATTAGGTAATTACAAGGAAATCTTTGAATAAATATTACTCCTTCTGTCCCAATATATGTCATACATTTTTCTTTTTAGCCTGTCCCCAATTCTGTATTTAGAAGCACTTAACTGTAAATTTTCCATTTTTCCCTTCGTGAGATGATTTATAGCCAAATATCTATGACTTGTTTTAGACCATAAGTTTCTTTTTTTCTTAAACTTTGTGCTTAGTCAAACAACATCACATAAAATGGGGCAGCGAATAATTTGTAACCTAGTAAAAATGGTAACTAACCTGTTATCACAGGTTAAATTTCACGGACAGTGTAAAAAGGTCTTTATACCGTCACTGTATATAACTTAAGTACAACTATAATGATCTGAGTTTGATTCTTAGTTATGATAGCCAATATGTGTAGCATGATATCATCCTGATCTCAAATCAGCTGGGGTCGATCGGTTATATGAATCCTCTATATCCATTCTGCTCTATTCAGGTTCATATCACTCCAACAGAATTAATTTCTGCTTTCAAGGAAAATTAGGAGTCCTCGAAATTTCACAGTTAACCCACTGGGATAAACATTATGCAAGTCATATTTTTTCTGTGTGCTATGTTCTTAGCTAATTTTGGATTAATTTCATTCCTGCTACTGTTATTCACCACAAAAATAAAGATGTGGCGGTGTTATCCTAGGCTTTACATGCAACTTGAATCGAGGGGTTGCTTTATGTGCTCGTTCGTGCTCCTTTCCTGAGAGGAAATCCTTTGCTTAAGGTTTAACAATGGACTAGCTTGTAGCTTTTATAAGTCATTTAGATAAAAAGAGAGGTAAAGTTTGAAGTTTCAATGCCTATGCGCCTCATGCAATTTCTTGTCCTTACATTAAAGGGTGTGAAGGGATCATGGTTTGATCAGATTCAAGGATTGAGGAGCTCGATGGGTTGCTGGTAGTTGTAGTCTGTGAAGTTTATGGTGGTCAGTACTTGTATAGATGCAGTATCATTAACATTAAGCATAGATTTGTATGAGTCATGCGATTGTGTTTCAGAAGAATTCTTGCTTGTGCTTTCAGCTTCATGTGTTTATGTGAGCCCATATGTCTGAAAGAGTTCCAAGTGTGAGATATGAGGAGATTGGGCGAATATATACAGTATTATGTCATACATCCGGGAACTCTTTTAGATAATTACAATCTTATCACGACGTCGCAAATATATAATCTACCTACACATGTGACTGAACTTAACACTCTCCTGAGTTGATACATATATGTTGGATCATGGATGTAGCGAGCTTGTTACATGTGAAAACTAGTTCGAGGACTGACAAGCACCGTGAATGTGTATGCTAGTTGATAATGATGCCACATATTTAGTGACAATGAATTTGGAAAGTATCTTTTTTGTAAAGAAGTATGAATTGATTTCCATGTTCTTGGTCCTTTCAAGAGAAATAGGATCTGACGCAATACAAAGTGCAACTTAGTTATCATAAATGAGAATAATCTGATTTAAGTTTCCATTATCAAGTATTGGAATAGTTGTTTGATTCATTTGGATTCAATTCTCGCCCAACCTGTATCTATAGAGCAAATAATCTAAGCTGGTATCCTTGTAAAATGGTCCTTTGCTAATTGGCTGATTTTATGTATCTAACAATGCGAACTACTACATTTCAGTAAGTATCACATGGTCACATGGATAATTCTCAGAAGAAGCCTCCTTGTCCTGGTAGAAGCTTGCCCTTCGAGTACAATGGAGTGATTCATCCTCTCTAGTCTGGCAATTCGGGAGAATTGAGATGTAGGAGAAGAATTTCTCGAAAACTAAAAAAAAGTAAATGGAAGTAGGAAGGCATATGTGTTATGTCTTACGCTTAGCAGTTATTATAGATACTCTATACGTTCCAAAAGTACATTATTTTGATGAGGACACTATCACAAATGCTTACATATTTTACATGTGTGACAATGTAGCACCAATAAAGTCATTGATGAATTAAAAGGTACATGCTAATTTGTGGGTAACTCAATGTTCTTCAATATGGCTCTAAGCTCTTCCCACTTGGTATTTTTATGCATGTGTTTAAGTTTTGTTGAACTTTTTTAATGTATATTATAATTATACTAATTTCTGAAGTGATCCTTCCTCAGTAGACGACTAAAATTTTTCATTTCTTACGCAGCAAGTAATATTTCTTTCTCAAAATGAAATCATCAGGTAAGCATTGCTTGGAGCATAAGGGTGGTAGCTGAACCGGTATCGACATTGTCCTTGAGATTTATGGTTGAATGGCTGTTATCTCTGAAGAACTTACTCAGGAGAACCCAACTGACAGATTTCCTTTGCTCATGGAGCAAGCAGAAAGTCATGAGAGGAATGAACATGTTATTGATGTAGAACAAGGAGGTGGTCCGTCATCATCAGGTTCATCTGATAATGATTCTCCTCGTGACTTGGAAATGCCCAACCACGAAGATAGACCATCTGCTCGACATTCCTCATCTTCATCCAATAATTCAAATTCTCAAAGCCCTTCAATCGCAAGGAGAGGTGAAGGTTCTGATCGTCGTTGGAGCCCATTTAATACCCTGTTGTGGCTTTCCATTGAGCTAGTATTCACCTTAGGACAGATTGTTGCAGCCGTTGTTGTTTTATCCTTGTCAAGAGGGGAAAACCCAGAAACCCCATTATTTGCTTGGGTTGTAGGTTATGCAACTGGATGTGCAGCAAGCCTCCCTTTACTGTACTGGCGGTATCTTCATCGTTACCGAGCCACTGATCGGAGGTCAGCTCAACTGCGTCAAGGTTCCCCCCAAGTCAATTCCAATGCAGAGCCAAATTCTTATATTACTATCTCATTGACTCGGTCCTCAGATGAGGAAGATGGTAGGAACACATCTACAGAAATTTTGACCAGGCAAAGCAATGCAAGGTAAATATATGCACATTACTCTCTTTCATGTGTTTTCTTCTTTATTTTTGCTGTTGTGTACAACTAACCCAAAACACAAATAAGCATGTTCAGTAAGTCAGGATGCAGTCAGTTGTTGCCTTAAGAAACCTATTAGTTGGATTGTATGAGTTTCGGCTAGATGATTTTTTAGGTACAACTGCTTCATGCTTCATAAGAGTAACTTAGATTTTTTTTTTTCATAACCTTTTCTCCAATTTCTTTAATATGGTATAATAAAAGGTGTTTCCAAGCATTCTTCATTTTTTCTGTATTCCAAATCTTTGCACAGCCATATAGAGATTCTCACAGAAATGTAGTCTGTGTTTGAAAATGATGTCTACATTTTGCGAACCAATGTATCCTCAGTACTATGATCTTGGATTCTGTCTTATATCATGAATAGTCTTATTGACCATGCATTGATATTTCTTTTTCCAGACTTGGTTCACTGGTAGATCATTTCAAGATGGCCTTGGATTGCTTCTTTGCAGTGTGGTTTGTTGTTGGCAACGTTTGGATCTTTGGGGGGCACTCATCTTCTTCAGACGCTCCCAATTTGTACAGGTGTGGTTGTTTCCTTTTTATTTGTTCTTCCTTTCCCACACACTGGTATCACTGAAACTAACATTAGATCCATACTTTGCAGATTATGTATAGCTTTTCTTACCATTAGTTGCATTGGATACGCTATGCCTTTCATCTTGTGTGCAATGATATGTTGCTGCTTGCCTTGTATAATTTCAATCCTTGGTGTCCGTGAGAATATGCATGGAGTGAGAGGAGCCACAGAAGAGTCCATTAATGCTCTTCCGACACATAAGTATAGGGTCAAGACCAATGGAACAGGGAGCAATGGAAACAAAAGTTCAGAAGGGGAGGAAGGTGGTTTTATAGCCACCGGTACAGAGAAGGAACGTGCTATCTCGGGAGAAGATGCAGTAAGTTTATCCTTTCATTTATAGCCTTTGGGAGTCAGAAATTGAATTTGTGGATTAGTCTCACAGAAAGTAGGTTTTGCTTCTTGATTTGATGTTGTTTGCATCTGAATACAACAACAACATACCCAATATTATCTCACACCGTGGGGGCTGGGAGGGTAATGTGTACGCAGACCTTACCCCTACCTTGTGAGGATAGAGAGGTTGTTTCCAATAGACCCTTGGCTCAGGATAGTATAAGTACCACATTAATGAAAATGTAGGCAAGAAGGGACAATATCAAAAAGCCATATAAAAACAAAATAAAACAAGAAGACAGTAAAGTGATCAACAATGAAAGAAAACAACGGTTAGTGATAAAGACCTACTACCAACAGAAAATGAGACTGCGTGCCAATACTAATGTTATGAACACTCTACACTACCTACTCTACTACCCTAATTCTCGACCTCCATACCTTCCTATCAAGGGTCATGTCCTCGGTTAGCTGAAGCTGTGCCATGTCTTGCCTAATCACCTCTTCCCACCTCTTTTTTGGCCTACCTCTACCTCTCCATAGGCCCTCCAATGTCAACCTCTCACATCTCCTCACCGGGGCGTCTGTGCTCCTCCTCCTCACATGACCAAACCACCTAAGACGCGCTTCCCGCATATTGTCCTCAATAGAGGCCACACCTACCTTATCGCGAATAACCTCATTTTTGATCCTAAATGATCTAAAATATTTATGAGTGTACAACATCAACCAAATGGTTATAAGCAAAGAGACAGCATTTCTATTTTTTCCATGACTGCTATTCATTATCAATGAGGCAATAATGACTGACTATTTTAATAAATAACTGTGTTTGATGTTGAAACACAACATGTAAAGCATTTCTTGTAGTCTATTTTTGTGATTAAATTTTCCTTTATACCCCACTACATTTGTATTTTCAATATAGTTTGTAGTTTTCCCCCCCTTAAAGTAAGGCAGAGCAATTAGAACACCGTACAGGACAGTTTCTTCTATGTCTTTACCACTTCCTGTTTGGTTTTGTCTTGTAGTTTTGATTGATCTGGTTTTGTATAATTTCCATTTGCATTCCAAAAAACAAGGGTAACGTCCACACACATTGCTAGGGAGGTGAAATAAGCTATCCGTACACATGCAAATTGTGCTTTTAAAACTGTTTAAAGTGCAAAGGAGGAGAATGAATGATCCGATTTGTCAATCTTTAGCAGTCAGGCGTTCAGTAGACAGCTTACATAAAATTGAATTTTAAATACTGACCTATACAAAGGAGAAGAAAAAATGTAATGCATGTGAAAGTTTACGAGTACTAGAAGAAGAGATAATACATCTTTATGATGTTACTCTCTACAGCTATGGAATAGTATGTGGCCTTAAGCTTATCATTGAGAGAATATGAGATTTCATTTAATACTTCTTGACATTCATGCTACTACACAGATGGCTGCCTAATATTTTACATAAAATTGAATTTTAAATACTGACCTATATATAGATCATGTCAGTTGTTCATATCTATCGAAACAATCGAAAAGGATATTACTAATTATATTTGCTGGATCGTCTTTTATTAACTCGATCGTATGAGACCTTTTAGAGGTCCGCTATTAGCCTGTTACATAATACATGTGGTATTACATAAGAGCTGTAACCTTGCTGAATTCACTGGTCGACTCATGTAGAACATACATGAGCATTTTATGTAATTGATTGTAAGTCTCATATATTAACCAGTATTTATGCTTTAAATGCATACAGGTATGTTGTATTTGCTTAACAAAGTACGAGGACAATGACGAGCTAAGGGAGTTGCCTTGCTCGCATTTCTTCCATACCCAGTGTGTAGATAAATGGCTGAAGATAAATGCGTCTTGCCCCCTCTGCAAATCTGAAATTGGCATCAAGGACACAAATGAGGAACCGCTTCAACAGTCCTAAAGTAGTACAGAAACCGACTTCTTATGGTCCAAACCGAGATCATTGCGGCTGCTTATGGCATGGGTGCCGGGCGAGTGTTTCACAGCTGACTGTCCCCCTCCCCCCTCCCCCCCCTCCTTTCTTTCCGCGGTGAAATTTTAGTTTGTACATTTGTTTATATCAAGAATGTGTAACAGGATTCACAAAAAAGGGGTTCCATTGTTCAAATCTGACAGCAAGGTTGAGAGCTGTACAAAGATTCCAGAAATTCAACAACTCATCCTGCTACTTTTGGAAGAAATCCTTTCTCTTATAGAATGTTTCTTCATCAATTTGGTATATCTTTCTTGGATGTTTTCACATCTCTTTCCACCCTTCCCACTTGCCTCCTCTTTTTGTATAAATAAATTTAGGGTAATGATTGTTGAATATCTGCATTATGAGGATGAATATTGTATAACGATTGTATCTCGATTTGAAAGACCGAGCTTCAATATAGTGGATAGTGGTCGAACAAATTTTCGAAGTGTATTACATATTACATATTTTTAGTAACTGAGAAATTCTTGAGAGCCAGTGACGTACGGTTTGAAACTCGATAATGGGCTTTCTTTTCACGTTCTTCATTTAAATACTAGATATTTGCTTGCAGCAAGGTTGATGTGTGTCTAATCCACACATTACATGATGCCTCTTACCAAAACTTAGTATTATTTTGATAGCTAAGGATTGTATTCACATTCAAGTCTGTGAGGAAAGGAACCAAACAATATATCCTAAGCTAAGGATTGTATTCTACATTCAAGTCTGTGAGAGGAAAGGAACCAAACAATATATCCTTTCAATTTCATACATGAGCTCTGTCGTCATTGAAAGCTGAATTGTAACTTAGGCACAGAAAAAAGTGTTATGCCATGTTTTATTATTGTTATTTGGAGCTCACGCAATGAGATAATATTTGGTGATTTACTGTAAAAATCTGAAAACACCAATGTTGGACCTTAGAAAGTATTGAAGAAGACGAATTGAATCTTCTTGATTTGATTTTATTTCACTAAATTGGTGATTGAGAATTGTTTGTGTTGGTATATGGAAGCTTTGTTTCATATCTACGATCATTTAGAGCAGATTTGGGGTGGTTTAATATGTTGAAGTAGCAAATTCGAATAATGCTCTGTTAAAATAACATAGAAAAATATGTCAATTGGGTTAATTTCAATGAATAACTTAATAGATATGTAGAGTAAATGTAGCATTAACTCTACCAAGCGAAAAATCTTTGAAGAGCAAAAGTATGACTGGTTGGCAGATTTCGATGAACAACTTAACAGATAATTAGAGTAATAATAACATCAACACTACCAGTACAGTAGAGAAATCCTGAAGAACAAAAGTATGACAACCAGGTATACTTCGATGAACAATTTAATCTGGTGCGAGAAACCCCAGAAGAGCTGTGTGCGTGTTCGAGAGTTATTTTTTAAAACCCGCCAATTTTAGAGGGGAGAAATTCAAAAATAGCCAGATTTACAAGTGGCCATTCAAAAATAGCCACAGTTTCAAAATAAATCGAAATTTAGCCACTTTTTATGTAAAGATAAATCTGAACTAAAACACTGTTCAAAATCAAAAAAATACTCCAGCATAATATACTGGAGTTCCAGCATAAGTATACTGAAACTCCAGTATATTATAATGGAGTTCCAGCATGGGTTCCAGTATACTTATGCTGGAACTCCATTATAAATATAATGGAGTTCCAGCATAAGTATACTGGAACTCCAGCATAATATACTGGAGTTCCAGTACAATATACCGGTCCAGTATAATATGCTGGAAGTTCATACACAGGTGCTCCAATCTCCAGTATATTATGCTGGAACTTTTCGCGTGTTGGAGTTCCAGCATAATATGCTGGAAGTTCATACACAGGTGCACCGATCTCCAATATATTATGCTGGACCGATCCCTGTGGCTATTTTTCAATGACTTTGCAAATGCTAGCTATTTTTCAATGACCAGTCCGAAATCTGGCTAGCCCGTGCTATTTACATGCGGCTAATACCAGCCCATTGCGGAGCCATTTCTGCCAATCTCCCTATATCATTACATTTAAAGTTTTTTTTTTATGTCAAAAGAATTCAATAATATATATATATATATATATATATATATATATATATATATATATATATATATATATATATATATTATTATATATATATTTTAATCCTATTTATTATACCAAACATATAAAGCAATTTTCATTAAAAGGAAACAATATCAGTCGTGGAAGAAGAAGAGTAGTATCCTTTTTTCATTTAGTCTTAATAGTTTAATAATAATAACTCAACCAGTGGTCTTATTGCCTAACAAAAGGAAAAATAACAACTTTCTTCGCTAATGTTTTTCTAGTGTTGGATAGTGAGACAAAGTTTGAAAAATATTTTCCTCCGTACCAAAGACACCCTAACTAATTTTATCTTATTTTTTATTTCTTGTCTTTCGAATAAGATATTGTAATTATGGTAAGAAATCTATGCATCCTTTCCCATTATTATAGGGCCATCTTCAATTGTTCATTCGATATATTATCACTTTTAGCTCGCGTAAAAAATTATTTATATTTGGTAGCCGAAAACTTATGATTTGTACATTTTTTGTATATACATACAAAAAATATATAAATTTTATATATTTTTGTGGCTATTATTTTTACAGCGGCTATACAATGTCGTTTTATTTATTTATTTTTTTTCAAAAAAACATTTAAAACTCCCAATATATCCTCCTTTTATTTTTGCCACGATTTATCCTTATAAAGTGTTAATCCTTACACTTATAAAATTTTTTAGCATCTAATCGTAATTCACTAATTACTCATTAGCGGTTAAACATAGATAAAGCTAAAATGATTGTCACTCCATATTTGTAGCCGTTTTTACCTTATTTCCTACCAGTAATTTCCTCTTTATATGTCCACCCCGAATCAAAGTTGATTAAGTAGCAATTAATTACTTCTTCTTTCTATTATCTTTTTTAATTAGTTGCTAAATAAGAGTGTCCCAGCAACTGGGACATCTCTTCTATCCTTAGGTCTCAAATTTTATCCATGTTATCTTCTCTTTATTTTCATTTGATCTTCATGCTTGTAAGAAAGTGATTTATTCTCCAAACTATCCGGTGCGGGTAAGTTTTTATTTTTTTTGGTTTTACTTTCTGCAAATGATTTGACGGGGAGCCCTGGAACAACGGTAAAGTTGTCTCTACGTGATGTATAAGTCACGGGTTCTAGTCGTGTGGGATTAGCCACTGATGCTTGTGTTAGAGTTAGTTGCCTACCTAAGGCGGACCCATGGTTTGAAGGTAGCAGGGGTACATGAGCGGATTGCTCAATTAGTGGCCCATCGGACTTCTGATTTTAAGAATTTCAGGCAAAATATATGATCGTTTTTAACATATATGTCTAAAAATTTTATCGAGGTTAACAGGGTCCGACGACCCCTCTTCTCTTATACATAGGTCCGTCTCTGCCTACATTACACCCTTCTTTGGGGTGTGATCTTTTCTCTGATCCAGCGTGTGGGATACTTTCGTGCGCCGGGCTGCCTTACTTTCTGCAAATTTATTTATGATTACAAAGTTAGATAATGGATCTTTAGTATTTTAAATGCTTCAACCTTCAGGTGTTTTCAATATTTTTCTTTTTTCCTTCTTTCCCTTTCAATTTTCCCAACAAGAGTATTATTTGGTGTAGTAGTGGAATTCAAATTTCTTAAGGAAATTAATATACAGAAATATAACCCAAGCTTTGTTCCAGGCAGGAATTTCAGCTCCATTTGCAACTATTCAGAAAAGAATTCGGGTAAGAAATAAGAATAACAAAATAACAAAGAGATTTCTGCTGACCAATATATATTATTTTCTTTTTGCATAATCCAATGAGAGTATTATTATTGCATTATATGTGGGGTGTTTGGTATGACGAAAAATATGTTCTGAAAAATGTTTTCCAAAAAATAAGTCATTTTTCGTGTTTAGTTGTTAGAAAATATTTTTCACCAAAAGGAAGAAAATGACTTCCGTCTCTTTTGGACGAAAATCATTTTCCTTCACAAATTATCTAAATTCGATACTTAATTTCCGTCATACCAAACACATCCATAGAGTTGTTCCTATTTTAATGATTATATATGCTAAGTAGGATTAATTCTTGACAATTAGTTTTAAGGTGCTATAATTTGATCATAGATAATGTTTTTTGCGCATTTATATCTTTTCCTAATCTAGGAAAAAAGGCATTAAAGAACTAATATTGTTTGAAAGTTTCATATGGCCTGTTAGGAATTTATTTAATACAAGAGTCTAAATATTTATATATTTTCCTAATTTAGAAAAAATCATATTAAAGAATTATGACTCTTAAAAAGTATCATATGGCATATCTAGTATGAGGAAATCTTGTGTCATTAATAGTTTAACCAATAAAAGTATCAATCATATTCACCTAATTTAATATAAACATATATTCCATTTAAGGAATGTTCATATTCACACCTAACTGTATTTAAAGATTCCATCCAACTCAAATTTACTTACAAATATATGATATTACCATTCAAATATCTTTTCATTTTCTTTAGATATTTTCTTTTAGGTTAAATGGAATAGCATCATGTAATTTGTATTTTATAAGATATTAAAATTTTACTTGGGTAATGGAAATGAATCTAGTCCCAAGATTAAAAAAAAAAATCTAGTCCCAAGATAAACACTACCAATATATTTTACTTTACACAAATAGTTGGACAGATTTACCATTTCGTACTTTTTCTAACCGATATACGCTCAGAGGTTATACACATTATATATACATATATTATACATGGATTGTATATATATTATGTGTTAATTGACTATTTTTATTTTAAAATGTTGGGTGGACAGCCATTTAGGTTAATTTTTTTTCTTCCTTTTTTACCTTGTCACGTTGTCGTTGAACAGGATACCGGGGATACAATTTACATGTTATTGTTCATAACAAAATAATATTTATAATCTGAAAAATAAGGCAGGTTATCTATTATAATAAATTAAAATACCTAAAAGAAAATGCCACCTTGACATTCTTGCATCAATTTTCGTTATTTGTCGTTCTACATGTCATCTAAAAGATAACTAATCTATGCAATTACTCATAAAGACAGGAATTCATAATCTAGAAAATAAGATACATTATCGAAAAATGACACTGTGTAATAGTCGCTCTAAAAAGAATAGCCAAAAATATATATTTCTTGTATATACAAAATATATATATTTATACACTTTTGTGACTACCGGATGTAAAATAGTTTCAGCCTCGGACTAAATGTGATCTTTGCCCTAAATTATCTGTTAAAATACCAATAAAATTTCTTTTTCCATCTTATCATTATTGCATCACTTTACACTATCAATGCATATAAGTAAGTAATTCTTTCCTATATATACATGAATTAAACTTCCCCTTTTCTAATTATTCTCCTTAAATAAATTCTTTTCTTTCTCCTTTTCTTGCAGAAATAGCCAAAAAC